TTGCTTCCTCCTCAGAATTATGAGGAAGAGGATAAGACCCATCCAAGATTATCACTCTCGATCTGAATGAGCTTGTGATGCTTTTCAGAGCAGGGTTAAAATGTAGTAGAGCTGAGCTGCCGTCAGCTTGAATTCTGAGACATGAAAGAGCAACAGAGAGAGCAGATAATCACTCAGTCTCTTTGCCAACGTCAGAACTAACAGCAGGGCTGTTTTAATTACAGAAATTTAGTCAAATCAAATTTATTTATATAGCACATTTAAAACAGTAACTGTTATCAAAGTGCTTACCAAAAAAGATCACAGCATCAAATATTAATAACAACATATTACAGCAACATGAATAAAAACATTAAATATAATGAGAAACAATGAAATACTAAATCAAATCACCCTGCATTAAATGTCAGGGAGTAAAAGCAAAATGGATGAACACAATCATCAACAACGAAATACCAAATAAGATCACACTGTGTTAAATGCCAATGAGTACAGATGTGATTTAAGGAGAGATTTAAAAATAGAGACTGAGGTGACCTGTCGAATGTTGATGGGCAGATTGTTCCAGAGTTTAGGGCCCACAACTGAAAACGCCCGATCTCATCTGAGCTTCAGCCTGGTTTTTGGTACGGCCAAAAGCAGCTGGTCTGATGATCTCAAGGCCCGAGAAGGAGTATAAGGATGAAGGAGGTTGGAGAGGTATGATGGTGCAAGGCCATTAACACACTTAAATGTCAGCAGAAGAATCTTAAAATCAACTCTTGATATGCACAGGAAGCCAGTGAAGAGAGGACAGAACTGGAGTAATGGGCTCAAATCTGCCAGTTCCTGTTAGTAGCCAAGCTGCAGCATTTTGGACGAGCTTGAGACGTGAGAGAGACCTGACTGACCCCAGCATAAAGCGAGTTACAGTAATCCAGCCGGGTTGTAATAAATGCATGGATAAATTTTTCAAGGTCGGATCTGAACAGGACGGACTTGAGCTTAGCTATCTGCCTTAGCTGAAAGAAGCTTTTTTGAAGAACAGAATTTATCTGCTTATTAAACTTAAAGTCCGAGTCTAAAACTATCTCGAGATTGGTAACAGACTGTTTTAGATATGGCTGA